CTGCTTCCATTAGGGAAAGTTTGTCCTCGGTAGTCCAAACCAAAATGCCATTCCCAGGAACGACCGTTCAAGGGCTTCTAGTTAGCTCCAAGCCCTGCTGGCTGGCTAGCTTGTCTTTTTAGGGGGGGTGGATGTGTGGATACCGCGTGGACGATCAGGGCGCTTGACGTTGGTCGGCCGTTCGGGGCTCAACAAGCCTCACGGCGCCGTGCCATAACATGGAGGAGCAAAACACATCATCGGCCAGGATGTTTCACCGTGCTTCCTGTGTTTCTGCCGCAGTGCCTAGCTCGGCTTGGCTCGGCTTCTTGGCCAGCTACCTACTTACTATCAAAGAAACTAGGGACCTACAGTACCTCTGTGCTGTAGAAGCCGTCCCTCGCCACCGCCGCCCGCCACGGAGCCAAGCAGGGGTTTAGCCATCGTTGCCCTCGTCTTGGCCCTGATTTTCTGACTGGCACACCGAGAGGCCCCTCAACGTTCTTCAGCCCTCTTTCTCTTCTTTCTCGCCACGGCGCAGCAGGGGGGTGGCTGGCGCGATAAGAGGAGAATTTTTTTTTTTTTTTTTTTTTTTTTTTTTTTTTCCCTCGGTGACCGCGTCCCGGGCTAAAAAGCAAAAAGATACCTACTACCTGACCCCCCACGAAGAAGAAGAAGAAGCAAAATATAGGAGTGACAAACAAGCAAGGCCGGCAAACGATCCTGCCGAGGCGAACCGAGGGGGAGGAATATGGTAACGAAAAAAAAAAAAAAGGAAGAAAACAAAATGATGGAAGCAATTTTTCTTCGCCACGTAGAGTAGATATAAAAAACCGTGGTCCCGTCGTCGATGGGTGCCCAACCCGGGGTCGACCGCCGCCCACTTTCAAAAGCCGCTCCCAAGGTTTTTTTTTTCTAAGCGAGTTTCGATCTCGGCCAAATCCACTAGCAAGGCGACCGGGGAAGCACTCACACACCATTTTCTTTTTCCCCCTTCTCAAGCCGGAACCACCGCCTCGTTTAAGTCCGCCTCACTTTCACTCACCGGCCTTTGCTAGAAGGAGATCGCCAGCGCCATTGCCATTTTGGGCCGTCTCGTCTCGACTTTTTGGGTCCCAAGTTCCCGGGCTTTTTGCGGCAGGGCAACCACCCACCCACCATTCCCGTCTCGACCTGGTCTCTTTTTTGCCCATCCATCAATCATCCTTATCGATTCCCAATCCTACCCGCGGGACCCCCGTTTTATTATTTTCTTTCCCCCAACAAAGTACCTGCCACCTAGCCCAGCAGCGTGTGATTTGCGGTGGCCGGTGGTTACAGTGGCAGCTGTGCTTACTTTGCTTGTCCGTCTGACTGCGTCTTCGCGTCGGATTCTGGCTCGATCAGAGAGGCCCTCAACTTGATTTGTGCAAGTGTGTCGCCCATTATTATCCAACCACACACGGCCGACGACATACCACACGACGATCTACACAAAACCCACCGTCGTGTGCACCATCCTCCTCGGCGCGACGCTCGAGCCAGTTTTTTTGCCTGTAACCCCCCGCCTTTCAGCCACCCCGCCCCCAAGGGGAACGCTTTCCTCAACCAGGGGTGGACGGTGCCGCTTTTCTTTTTATTTTTATTTTTTTAATTTTTTTTCTGTCTTTTTTATTTTTTATTTTATTTAACTCTTCGCCCTAGAACGGAAAGGGTGGCCTGCGGACCACACCCCCTTGGCAGCGCGGCCCAAGCTAGGTACCTTAGGGGCCCAAGAAGCAGCAAGAGCGGGCACAGGCAGGGCAGCCAGGCGAAGGAAAGGACCAGACGGTTACGACCAACGTCTTTTGGCTGCCCGCCAGGTTGGGCGTGATTCAAATAAACACCGCCATCCACTCCCACCGAGCCCATCACTCCCAAGCCAAGTCGAGCGTCATCCACTGGCTCCCTTGTTGATATCTGTGTGTGTGTGTTTTTCTTTTTACTTCACTCATTTTTCCCCTTTTTTTTTTTTTTGCCCATTTGTACCATTCCATTCCTTGTTAGTCCCTATTTTTTCCGCTCCCCGAGGCTCCGCCTTGCCATTGGTGCCCGGACACTGCTAAACGAGTGGTTGCTTTGTTTTTTTATTTTATTTTTTATTCAAAAAACACCCCCCAGCACTGCAGCTACCGCTCACCGAGCAGCCCTCCCTTTTTATATTTCTCTTCCTTTCGTTCTAATTTGGTCGCTTTCTGCGGTGCTCAGTCGTCGACTCTGCCCGGCAAACAGCATTCCCCCTGTTTTCCCTGCTTCTGCATGCTCGACGTCGCGACAAGGTCCGGATTGGTCTTCCCGCCTGGCGCACCAACGATCCACCACTACCACCACCACCACCACCACATCCACATCCACCACTGCTGGAACAGGACAGCCGACACGAGTTCTCCTTCCTCGTCCACACATCGCCACCCTGTGCAAATCGGCGACGTGTCGCGTCGGCACTTCTCGTCCTGCCCGTCTGGGGTTTTGCACCTCTTGGCAGAAACGACTTTCTCACACGCATACAAACCTTCTTTTGGGTTTCTGTCAGGCACGCCAACCCATACTGCCAACCGAACCCCTACGAAGCGTGGCCATTGTTCCTATTTTTATTTTATCTCTTTCTGCCGCTGTCGCCCCGGGACGTTGGTTTTTCTGTTTTAATTAAACGCCGTGAGCTCACCTCTCTGTGGGCTGGCGTGCATGCGCGCTTCGCCAGCCAAGCGCCACCATGCCTTCACGATACATGCCTGCGTAAGGTTTTTGCCACTTCTCTTCTCCCGTTTCCCCTGTGCCATCGCCGATCCCGGTGCACTCTATCTACCTATCCTTCCTTATCGTCGTTGCCACCCCCCCGCGGCCCTTCCCGACCTCTCCCCAGTCCGGGGCTCCCGCTGCAGGCGCCGGGCGGCACCTTTCTTCAGCATCACCACCACCATCACTGCCGTCGCCGCCGCCATCACTACCACCATCGCCACACTTACTCTGTCCCTCACTCACTGCCGACAACGAACCCGGTCTTGTTTGTTGTCTGTCCGCTCTGCTAACCGCGTTTGGGAAAATAGGCGCGAGTTTCACATAGTCGTCCTGGGCGCCGGTGGGTTCGCTCCCACGCCTTTGCATCCTCGCTGAAACAGATCTGTTTGAAGCGGCACGACTCGGATCGCATCACGCTGACCCATTTACCTTTCTCCGCTGGTCCAGGTGGTGTGGGGAAGAGCTGTTTGACTGGTATGCCCCTCCCTTCCGCTCCATTATCTCGCCCGTCTTATGCCTCTGCCCTGCTGTGATCCTTGTCGGGAAACCAAACACGTTGCGTCACGTGCTCTTTCCCATCTGCGCGTCGTCGGCCAACCCCATGATCCCATGATGCACCAGGACTAATACGTTTTCTCACCCTTGCCAGCACAATTTGTCCACAACGAGTGGATCGAGAGCTATGATCCCACCATAGAGGACTCGTACCGGACACAAGTCTCCGTCGATGTGAGCTGCTTCCAGGTCTTTCCCTGCTTTGCCTGCCTCCCTATCTCGTCGTCTCGATGCAGGGTTACTCAAGTATCCGATTACATAAGCTGACACAATTGTGTACGGTCGTAGGGACGGCAAGTGGTCTTGGAGATGTAAGCCAATGGACCCAACAGGCCATAGAACTTCTGCCAGGGGATGGGTCGTACCACAGATGTGTCCATGTACTTACTGACACTCTCGATGTAGACTTGACACGGCTGGAACGGAACAGTTTGGTATGTGCAAGTCGTTGCCCCGACGCAGCAACATGGACATTCTACTAACGGACCATATAGTTGCCATGCGAGATCTTTACATGAAGACGGGCCAAGGATTCCTGCTTGTCTTCAGTATCACGTCACAGTCCTCGCTGGCCGAGCTAGGCCAGCTGAGAGAGGAGATCATCAGGATCAAAGAGGACGACAACGCACCAATCGTCATCTGCGGCAACAAGGCCGACCTCGAGGACCAGCGGACAGTGGCCCGCACCAAGGCTTTTTCCATATCACAACGCTGGCATGCTCCATACTACGAAGCCAGCGCAAGGACAAGGAGTAAGAAGATGTGCCCCGCCCTTCACGGAAAGACACAAGTACTCACGCTGGCTTTTCCTGATAGCAAACGTCGATGAGGTGTTTATCGATCTCTGCCGCCAGATGCTGCGTCGAGACAGCACACATGGCAGTCCCTATTACGGTGACGACGAGTACAGGAATGACGGCGGCGCGCTATCAACAAAGCCCTACAAGAAGAGTAGAAGCAGAAGACACAACAAATGCATCATCCTATGACGAACAACGACGAGTCGATATTCCCAGCATCTTCCTTATCCACACCCTAGCACCTCGGTTCCCTTGAAAAAGAAGAAAAAAGAAAACACATGGGTTTTGGGATGCCCCATACGGCGCGAGCTTATAGACTGCCCTGCCTTGTTCCTGCATGAATCTCTGTTCATCTTTTGCTTTACACATCCGCTTATATCCCCTCCCCGAGGTCTTTCGGGATTGCCTTTTTTTTTTGGTTTATTTATTTTATGTCCTCGGTTTTACGGGCACCGAGGGAAGAGAGAGAAAAAAAAAAGTCGACAAGTCGACTCCGGGGGACAGACTCATCCTGTTGTGTCATCTAACTCTTCCGATCTTCTGTCCTTGTACCCGGAACGTTGTTCCTGAGATTTTGTCTAGGATCTACCATTTCATGTTCCAGGTGGGATCTTTCGGCGTTGGGTTAGGCGAGCGATGATTTGTAAGTGTGGCCGAGATCTATATCCTCGCCCACTGGGACTCTGGGTTTATGTTTATTGGCGCACAATAGAAAGTTGGCCCAAAGAAGAATAAACGCGAACGCCAGCAACTGCTATTAGCACCTGATTCTTCGCTTTTCCCCGACTGCCATCACATCCACGAAGTCGGGGTTGGCGTGCCGTTGCCGTGGCCTAGAGCGCCGGAATGGTGTGTCCCAGGGCATTAAAAGATTGAAAAAAAAAAAAAAAAAAAAAAAAAAGAAAGTTGCACCGCTGCCGGGATTCGAACCCGGGTCTAATTGCATCAAATCACCATATTTTAGCCATCGAGATCGTAAACCTGGGGGACGTGTCCGTCACGGATGGGATCTGCTCACCTCCGCCTGCCTCTGAGAATATCGGAGGGCGACAAGCTAACCACTGCTATACAGCGGCCGCCTTTTGTAACCACTTGACCACTTTAGGTCGGGTCTGGGTGTTTTTGTTGCAGGGCTGGACGGCGAGGTTGGGTGAAAAGGGGATTTGCTTGAGGGGGACTGTTCCCAGTAGGATGGGAGGTTTGGCACCGATTTCATTTATATCGGTCGATTTGCTGCCCGGCTTGATGCTTCCATTTCAAATGTTAAGGGAGCACGTAACCCAGAAAAAAAAAACGTAATACACAAAAGGAAATAGGAAAAAAAATAAGAAAGGAAATATAAAGATATGCTTTTTTAAACAGGGGTTGTTTTATTGCCGCTGCTGTACCTGGTACCTAATGAGCGACCTTTTAGTGTATTGCTTCTTTTCAGGTCTGCGTAGGGAGGTGTCGTGCGGGTTAGGGTTTTTGGTAAACCGAGGTAAGCTGGCTGGGCTAAGCCTTCCTGTTGGGTAAAATCCAGGCATCCGAGGTCGTCGAGATCCCAGCTAACACAGGTAAACCACCCAAAACCCAAACCCGAAGTCGATCTCGGAAACATGATACAGGTCCAGTGGGCAGCTCTGCCCGAGTTTAATACACCTCGCTGACCTCTTTATTAAACATGCAAGAATACTACCTAGGTGGGCGGCATCATACAACGGAACCGCTGCCGAACAACCGCCGGAGCGGACCGGTTATCGGTGGTGGCCCCGCAACGGAGCTTGATGAGCGGGTCCTGTCCGGGTTTGCCGCCGGGAGCGGGTATACCATACAGGAGGGGTATTCGACATATAACATTATGGAGACCATCTAGCCGTCACTTTTAGCTGCTTTAAATATCAAACCTCGCCCTCGAGACACCTTCTCCTTGATCAGCCCAAGCAGCAACAGGCCCGGCAATGGCTGGTCTCTGGGGCTCTCGGCTCGCTGCGTGGGTCTCGGGCTCCTCCTCCTCCTCCTCCTATCCTCCCTGCCAGCCCGCACATACGCCGTGGA